TTTATAGGGATTTTAATAGGGATTTTATAATTTTTCTAATAACAGGTTTATCTAATATATATTTTAATTTGGTTTTTAGATATTTATTGTATAGCTCTGTTTTTACTTACCTGTAAGCCGCCCTGAGTCCCTTGGGAGAAGGGCGGGGTATAAATTAAAGTATTATTATTATTATTATTATTATTATTATTATTATTATTATTATTATTATTATTATTATTATTATTATTATTATTATTATTATTATTATTATTAATGCAATTAGTTTTTATTGTGCAAGTTACATCCAATGGTACTTCCGAGGAATGCTCAGCTAGCTTCTCCATTGTTGTATTCATTGAGTTATATCATTTGTTATAAAATTTGAACAGATTGTGCACCACTCCCTTTCAAAAGCACTCACTGTATGTGGTGATGGGTATGATTTCAAAATACTTTAAGAGCGAAGATCACTATGAGAGTCACCCCACGGCAAGGCGCGTATTGCCGTGGAGTGGCGTAAACCAGGTAAATGTCCTGGTTTATGCTGTGAGAACTGTTAACGGTGCAAAATTAGCTACTTCCTTCCTTGCAATAAATTGCTTATGCCGGCTGTTATGTTTGTTTCATTACAAGTGCCTGGAAATGAGGTTAATGAACATTTGCAGGTTTTGTGCATGGTGCTTCGTGCATGCACTCTTATGGGTGTAATGTTGAACTAATACAATAGGTGTTGATGACACATTACACCAGGGGTGTCAAACTCAATTTCATTGAGGGCCGCATCAGCATTGCGGTTGCCCTCGGGGTGCCAGGTGGGTGTGGCCAGGGTGGGTGCAGCCTACTGGGTGGGCGTGGATGGAGTGGGTGTGGCCTACTGGGTGGGCATGGCCATTTCTACATTGTTTGCGTCAAGGGTGCCTGTGGGGGCCTGGGCAGGAGTGGGACAGATCTGAGGATCTCTGGCAGAAGGGGGTGGGACCAGGGCAAGTGCCAAGGCATGGTCCACTGGAGGAGCCTCGCTGTTCCTCTCAGGCCATGCGGGAGGGTGGTGGCTTATGGAACTAAGACTGAATAGATGGCCACCACAAAATTGTACATTGGCTCCCGGCTGGCCTGGGCCAGGGCCAAGGCAGCGGGGGCTGTTCCCTCACTGTTTCCAGGATGGCTTCGCGGGCCACATGAAACCACTTCG